ACAAATAATTTGTAGTGATCAATGATAAATCTTGCAGTTATTAATTGGATCGCTGGTGAGGTAGATACCTTTTTATTATGATAAATAAACAAAGATATTGTCTGATATTGTATGATCGAAACGATCATAAGCTGAATAAAAACTATTGATACCAGACAATATCTTTATTTATTTATCAAATCTTGCAGTGTTGCAATAGGACAGTATATGAAAAAACGCAAAAATTGTCAGTAAGAACGTAAGAGAATTGACAGAGAAGGAATTCACTTATCCTTGATTTGTAAAATTAAAGTACGAGTACTTGCCTGTCTCTGCTCGAGTGTTGGGGAGTAGCTTCCTATTACAATTGTCTCAGTTTCTATAGCTGTGTGGGGGAGGGAAAGTCTCAGGCAGGCTTTGTAAGCTACTGGGTTCGGTGAAGGAAATGTGCATCATGTTTGCGTCATGTTTGCCTCATGCCTGCCTTGCCCCTACAGGCAAAGATAATAAATAAAAACAAAAGGCACGCCTGAAGAACACCACTACCTGGCAAATGTAAGCTTAATTTGGACCTTAAAAAACAAATGCATACATAAAAGGTTTATTGTTTTAAATATAGGTTGTTTTACGTATACTTGCTTCAGAAATGCAATATTAAACTGTTCCGCTGACCAAAATTTTTCACAGCATCTGTTACGAGTCACGTTTTGCGCGATCCACGCGAAAATTTGTCAACTAAATTACTCTGTAGACTATGTATCACAACTCTCGTCAGTTTGTTTGATTTATCTCTTTTTTTGTCCGATTGCGTCACGTACGGGATGTCATATGTCATGCAAACGACCGTGACGTAGAGTTGACAACTAAATAACAAAATAACGTCACTGACATCGATGAAGAAATAAGAATTCCCTTCAAGTTTGACTCTTGAGTTAATATAAATATTATCCGATTGGCCGATACATTATATGTGTCATTCGTTGCTTAACATTCGCTTAAAAATGACTAAACTGAACTAGCTACTAATTACAATAATGTGTAGATTGTATAGTATTCGTAGAAGGAACAAAATTATGATCAATTGCTACATTTTTGTGATTTATGTAGTTCTACGTAGTAAAAAAAATGCTATTTCGATAATGCGTACTTAATCAAACAGCGTAGAGTAAATACAAAGTATCCAATTTGGTTTGATGATATGCATGGGTATTTCCTTTTCCTTCTCTAGCGTTTCTATTATTCACGAATAAAATGAAATATGTTAGCTTCTTTTCAGTTCCCAAGCACAATCATTGTAATGAAACCAAATTCGACAATGCATTTCGAATGTCTAAAGCTTCTGCGCGGATAATACATTTTCCTGACATTTTACAGACTGGGAAAAACAATTGCAGTGTACTTATTACGTGAAAATGCTTGATTATGACAACTGTAATTGCTTATTATTACAATTATTCTTTACCAGCGATAGTCATTTACTACACTGATTAACGAAACGTTGTTGAATATCATAAAATTATTTGTTTTCTCTATTCAAAGACGTTATAAAGAAGATAATTTGATCGAAGCAACAAAACTTGTGTTCTAGTGAAGCTTTTAGAAACATACGCCGTATTAAGACTATATTGGAGCTCCATAAGAAAGTGAACTATTTCAGACAAATGCCTAGAAAAAAATCATACTTTTTAATTGGTTAGAATAATTGAAAAATCATACTAATTGTTAAAGGGAAAAGGTAACAGGAATCTAGTTAAAAGGACTAAATTATTAAAACGTGAAAACTCCATAACTAATTGAGACTTTTTTCTGTTTTTTGATTGCTAAAAACTTCACATAAATGTAAACGTTCAGAACATATATCTGAAACCATATTTTTACATCCCTGTATCATTCAATATATTTTCGCCTCCATTTAAACACACAAAGTACACAAGATAACGTCCAATTTCGTTTATAAGTACTTCACAGTGGGATTTTAAATGGTCAATTTATTTATCTGTGTGAACCTTGAATGTGTGTGAGACCAAAGTACAGGGTGAGGAAGGGAGAGCGAGATTACGCATTTAATTGGTTTGTTTGCTTGACGTTGGTTTCATGTGTGCTTTATTTCTGCTGATTATTCTCTGAATTATATGAGAGACAATGAAATGCTATCTCATGCGATGGCTGCAATCACAATACACGAGTCATCTACCGTATTTTTCATTGCAGATGTAACACTCGATAATAGTTGAATCGGTGTTGAGCTGATTCTACACGATGTTTTGTGTGTCAGATATGTGTTTCTTTTTGGTACATACTTTGAAGCAGAAATAAATAGTGTTTGTTAGTATGTAGTTGCTGACTGAACACATACGACAAACGCGTATTGATTGACGTTTTGTCGGTTTGATTTTTGTGAACTGCTTATAATAAGATAACATATTGGTAGATAATATTTTTTTAATTTTAATGTGTCTCACTTGTGTGGTTAAGAGAATAGAACACAGACATCTCGTTACGTCGGCAAATGTTTGAACGATAGTCAAACTTTAGGAAATCTCTTATTCCAAAAAAGGCAATGTAAAATATTCTGTAATCTTCATAATGATAAACAGGAATTCAAATAGATTCCGGAAAGAAAATTTGTCAGTAAAACTTGAAGATAAGAAAGCGAACAACTCCATTTAGTTTTATCGGAGAACAAAATCGAGCCTGAGAAAAATGATACTTCCATGTTTTAAACTAATACATCCATGTTTTAAAAACATCGGTGTTAATACATCCATGTTTTAAAAACATCGGTGTTACTACATCCATGTTTTGAAAACATCGGTGTTAATACATCCGTTTTAAAAACATCGGTGTTAATACATCCGTTTTAAAAACATCGG